GTGATTTGCTAGGTATTGACCAAAAATAATAATAATAATAATAATAAATAAAAGTAAAAATAAAAATCACTTGAGTACAGCATGGCGAGTTTGAGTTGGAGAAAATAAACACTATTAATGTCTTTAATTTGTATCAAGTCTTAGTTAGAGTCCAGCTTTTCTTGTTTATGTGTACACTCTTTTAAAAAAACAGAAAGAAAAAGTATTTATTATAACAATAGAGGGTTACAACTTATAGGAATAATTCGTATAAGCTAAAAGAAGATTTACTCATCAAATATCATTGGCACAAGTGATAAGAAGTTTGTCTTCTTTAATCAGAGATCTTGTGTTCGATTCTTGGGAATGGAAAAAAAAAGATTTTGAGAGAGTCGTCCCCACTTTATAGAATCCGACAGTGCTCAGATTGAACTAGTCTGAAGAATGAACCGGTTAAAAAAAAAAAATCTTATTGTTTCTTCCAACGATTATGATATTGAATCTTCTAGCTTCATTATCAATTTCAACATGGAATGAAACGGCTGCAACTATTGGTAAGGGTAATCAAGTTGCCAACATGATAAATATTGTCATAGTAGATTTTACCTTTTTGACAAAATCAACGGTAGAGAATCCACTAGCAAAATAATGAAGTTTACGGAATAAACCTCCTTGTGCGTTATTTAGTATGATTATAATGTGGGAGAGAATTCTACTTATTCATGGCAAATCAACACTGATGATTTTGTTACACTTGAATAACATCATTAACATCATTAATTTACTCATGAATAATTTATTACAAAATCATATTAAATAATATAAGAGAGAATCCACTTCATAAAGTTTATCATATTTTCACTTGAGAAATATATAATGCACACACCTACTTTTCTAATTTGGCATGTTTTCCATTATATCATAAATACCATGCATGTATTCAATGATGAGAAGGTAAGTATGTCAGTAAAATTTGGGAGCATTGAATTCACTAATAGGAGGACAATATGATAATAAAAGTTCAAAAAGTGAGTTTAAATTAAGAAGAGCAAGTAAAATTAATAGTACCAGGATACAAATAGAGTTGGCAAATAGCCAATAGGTACACCACGTGTTGTTGATCCATTTAACTCAGCACATATAACGGATTGTGAGATTCTCAATTTGCTAATCCATTTGAATCCCTTCGGCCCTCACATCAAAATGAGCCAAATGGGTTAAATTTTTTGTGGGGCGATGTGACTGACCTATCGGAATTTTTAAAAAAAATAAAAGTTAGTCAATAACATTTTACGGTTCTTTAATTTTTATTCAATTTTCTTTACACTTATGAAAAATGTAATTTTTAAAAGTTATTTATATTTTTAATATAGGATTAAGTGTCTGTCCTTTTAAATGATGCAAGTTATATCCTTTTAGTTTTTAATACTATGTCTTATCAGTAATATTAGTAAGACATAATTATAATATAAAAAATTGTTCCTTTTATCTCTTCATGCCAGTAGAAGATAATGAGGAGAGAAAAAAAAAGTAATTTTTCATATTATAACTATATCTTAACGGTGAGATATAATGTTATGTATTTGGTGTTTGTTATTTTAAATGACATAAGTTATGTCATTTTAAGAGAGAGATAGACACAAAAAATAAAAATCATGAGAGAGAGAAAGTGAGTGATTTTTTTTAATTTAAATTTTAAATAAAAAAATATTTTGTGTCTATTTCTTTCTTAAAATGACATAACTTTATATCATTTAAAATGACAAACACTTTTTTCCTAATATTAAATACTAAAAGAATATAAGATTTTGTCCTTTAAAAGCACAACTTTTTTTCCCTTTAATATATTATCATATTGGCGAAGCGGAATGAATCGAAGACACAAGATGAGTTATCCACTTTGACACACTTGAATTATGATGCACCGACACTTCAAAAAATTTGACATGTCACGTTTGACACTTTTCGACACTCCAATACGTGTTACAGAGACTCAAAAAATGTTCAAATATTTGTGATATCCTATGTTTCTTTATAAAATTGATGGATATTTTAAGTTTAATTTTATTTTTTTATTAAGTTATTTAATATTAAATATAATATATACTAAATAAATTAAAAATACTATTTAATAACAAAATATATTCTAATATGTCAAAATATAATATTTTTTAGAATTAGTTTATCAAAAGATGATCATGTTGTATCATGTCCCATATCAATATCCATACAACTTAATATCTGAATACAAATTAACAAGATAATCCATATACACAGACGTGTTTTCAGTTGAAGTAAGGTGTTGCTTACAAAAAAAAAAAGGTGTTGTATTGTACGAAGGTAGATGTGTTTGGACCAATTGGACCAGCCAGGGGATCTGAACTGTTCTGAAGAACGCACACTAGTACTGTACGTTCCTGCAAAACTTACACTGTAAGAATAGCTTCAGAGAATTTAATACAACCAAACAACATAAATATCACCTTGCCAACTCTCTCTCATTTTACTTATATGCCCTCCCACTTTTGTTGACTACCTTTTGCTTGTTTATTATGTATTATTAAACAATTTTTTTATATGTAAATGAGAATTGAACAAATAATATAATATAAAGGGATTTGATTTTCTTATATTCCATGAGAATTGAATTTTTATGTTATAATTCAATTAGTGGTGGATCTCGTATTTATTAAAAATAGAAAAAGAAAAGAAAAATTATAAACACAAATAAAAGAATCATTACGTAAAAATTGAATTTTCATGTAAAATAAAAAAATATTTTTTTAATATAAATTATTTAAACCTATCAGTAGTGGCCTATTATTTAGCAATTATAACTCCATGGACATGCTTTTCGTTCCAATCTTTGTTCAGATTTTAGTGCTCTGCTATTGCTATGAAAGTGACCATATGGTGTAACTAAAGGTGCTTTATTTTAGACTAGATGAACCAAATAGTTAGCACGTGCCTTCTACAACTCATTCTATTAATTAAATTATCTTGGTACTGAAACGCAAGATATTCTCGATTCTGCTATTTTCTTATTGTTTTAGTAAAAAGGAAAAAGATGGCTAAGCATGTGAGGACTGTTTCATTTTAGATACGAATCTGCAGAAAATGTGTTGTTTCTATAGGAATTATCTTCCAATTTCTAGGATATTAAACGGAGAACATGTGATTAAGAAACAATTGTTACATGCTCCGAACAGTTTTACATTTTTTTTAACAATCTTGTCACATGTTACAGTGTAACTAATGAAGTCATACACTCATACCTCTTCCCTAAACAGAAAGAGGTCAAAAAAACTCAAATGAGGTAGTGAAATAGAGGGTAAAAGCAAAAAAGTCTATACCATTTTGACAATCCTGGCAATAACTGCAAATGTAATCTCTTAAGGACCCATACGAGGCCTATATTTTAGAAGGCTAAAAAAAAAGGCAATATAAAGAGAAAATTAAGATAAATAAAGGAAAATATTAATCTAAGATATTAATTCTAATATGATAGGAATGAATCTGAACATGGATTTTAGAGGAGCACTAAAAGTCCAAAATTCTATTAACCACAGATAAATTCGATAAATAAAAAATAAAACTTACAAGTATAGATATATATTCTTTCTCTATTATTATGTTGTCACTTAGTACATATCATCTCTTTGACTAATAATATTATTGTTAATGCACAATAATCTGTTACACTCAAATATTTGTAATTCATAAATATTTGAAAAAATATTTAGATCCAAAATCAACATACTAATTTTTTTATTAGACACCCTACGACAAAATATAATCAAATCACTTCCCATTAAAAGGTTGAAGTAAAAAGGCTGAAGTGATTTATTCTTATATATTTATTAAGAGTTTAATACTATTTCCTGTTAAGCCTCTGCTAACAAGGATTGGATGAGAATAATCTTTATATGCTAAAAGGATAATCTTAGGGATATTCTTACTATTAGAAAAATTCACTACTAACTCACTACATCCATAATTATTATTGGATCAATATTTTTTCTTTCTTCAAAGTTTTTTTAGCATTCTTTCTCTTTGATCTAATGACAATTGTAAAGGCAGTGGGTTGGTAGTGGATATTTTTGATAGTAAGAATATCCCCCTCTAATTTTTATATGCAATTTTATTTTCTGTACTTATAAATAGATTATTTTTTGGATATAAACTCATAACCTTTCGGTTATAAATAAACAATTTTATTATTGTTCCGTGTTTACCCTGTTCAGAAAGAGTTTAATAAATACATACAAAAAAAGAAAAAGAAAAAAAGAGTTTAATATATAAAAAAAAAAAATGACAGGAGGAAACCCAAAAGAGGCCCAGGCCTGCATCTGCATCTCTCCTTTTCTACGTTTCCCAAATGAAAAAAAAGGTCAGATAGTCAGTGGGTGGTTTCTGGGGTCTGAGGTAAAGGAACAGAAAAAAAGTAAAAGAGTTTAGTAGCAGTAAAAAGCTTCAACCGTACAATCTTCTCAGATAGGCATTGGCTTCAGACACCAACTCTTTAAAATAGTCTCATATAATACAATAATACCAATAATAACTATTTCCTCTTTTGTTTTTAGGACCTTTTCTTTCCCTCACCCTTTAGTTTATGGATTTCCGGAGAGATGTCAGAGACAAGAGCTGCCAGAGAGACAGCTTAGCTGCAGAAGCAGCATCAACAGAGAGGTGCAGACAAAGTATGTGTGTGTGTGTTAGAGAGAGAGAGAGAGAGAGAGAGTGCATCAGCATGCAGCTCTGTAATCAGAACCATTAGTTTTATCCATGTACAGAAGATTCTGTAACACAATGGTCCCTGAAATAAATATACCTACTCTACTCACTATTGTAATACTAATAGCCCACAAACACACCATTCCCTCTCCTCATAAATCATAAATAATAGAATAGGTTCTGTTTCATTTGTTTATATCATTATATACCATCTCTCTTGATTCCTGTTTCCCTATATATTTTTTCTTTTCTCCTTGTTTTCCTCTTCCACACTCTCTTGTTTGATGATGAACACAGGAAGGAACAGGTTCCCCTTCACTGCATCACAGTGGCAAGAGCTTGAACATCAAGCTCTTATCTACAAGTACATGGCTTCAGGTATCACCATCCCACCTGATCTTCTCTTCACTATCAAAAGAAGCTATTTGGATTCTCCACTTTCCTCAAGGCTTTTGCCTAATCAGCCCCAACAGTGTAAGTCCCTCTCTCTCTCTATCTATATATCTATATATATATATATATATATATATATATATATATTCTCTCAAGAGTCAAGAGTGCATAACCAAAGTTTCTTTTGACAAAAGGGGTTTTGGCTGTGATTATTTGCAGTTGGATGGAACTATCTGCAGATGGGTTTGGGAAGAAAAATAGACCCAGAACCAGGTAGGTGCAGAAGAACTGACGGAAAGAAATGGAGGTGCTCCAAAGAGGCATACCCGGATTCAAAGTACTGTGAGAGGCACATGCATAGAGGGAAAAACCGTTCAAGAAAGCCTGTGGAAGTTTTGAAAACAACAACAATAGCAACAAACACAAATGCTTCAACATCTTCAATCTCGTCAATCACCAAAAATAGTCATTCACTAACCCCAACCACTCAATCTTTCTCACCTCTTACACCTTCTGAAACACACCATCAACATTCTTGTTATGGTTCCAATCTCCACCACTCCTTTCTCTATCATCATCCACCATCAAGGTCTTTTGAAGACAACAACAGTGCTCCCTTGTTTCTTGACACTGGCTCTTGCTCTCAAACTAACACTGACTGCAGGTTGATCCAAAAACCAACCTTGTTCATGGTGTGCTTTAATTTAAGTACTTTCTTCAAGTGTTCCAAAAACCAACCTTTTTGTTTTTTGTTTTTTGTTTTTTTGTTATGAAAAAAGAAATAGGTATGTTTATGGAGAGAAAGAGGAGGTGGATGAGCATGCTTTCTTCACAGAGCCTTCTGGTATTATGAAAAGCTTCTCTGCTTCATCTATGGATGATTCTTCATGGCAATTCACACCACTGACTATGAACTCTTCATCATCATGTTCTTCTTCAAAACAGAGGACTTGCTCTGGTTTGTCAAATGATTACTCTTACTTGCAACTTCAGAGCCTCAGTGACCGCTCAAAACAACAGCAAGAGCAAGATCAGGGTTGCTATATATTAGGTGGTGAAATCAAGTGTGAGACACTGATGAAACTGGGAAAACAAGAACCTGAAAAAACCGTTCATCGCTTCTTTGATGAATGGCCACACAAAGGTAGAGGCTCATCATGGCTTGATTTGGATGATAAATCATCCACTACCCAACTTTCAATTTCCATTCCCACCTCTACTCATGATTTTCAAACCTTCAATTCCAGAACCCACCATGGTAATTGATGTCAATTACTTTGATTGTTCTACTTCTTCTTGATTTAATACTTTTTTTTTTTTATATCTTCACTTATCATCATGGCTTGGCATTTTTGCAATAATCTTCATATTGTTTTGCAGATGGTTGATCTTAACTTTCAATAACGGGTCCATATATGTACCTCAATCAAAGGTGAACAATGTACTTACAAGGTTGGATTCAGATGCTGTGATATGCTGTGGTGTCTTGTGTTGTATGCTAATCCTTTCTTAGTTCAGTTCTTTCTTCCAAACGTAGTATCAAACTCTCTGTGACAGCGCTTATTTGTTTAAAGGTTGAGCAAACTTTCAATGGCACATCTTTAGTTTTTTTTTTTTTTTTTTGGGGTTCCTTTTCCACTTCATGGCAAGTATTGGCAACTATAAAATTGGGTGCATAATGGCCCCAGGATTTGCTAGTTTCGTCACATCTGAACATCCAAATTAAGTGTATTAGATAGTACCCTGTGTGTGATCACTAGTCATTAAAGTTATGCCAAAGGGAAACTCATTGATTACTACTAAATATATATTGTAGAAAATAAATTTTATTTTTTATATACACATAAAAGTGTGTGTAGCACATGAAACAAAAAAGAGAAAGAAAAAATCTATGAATGTATAAAAATGTGTGGGATTATAAAAAGAGGAGAGATAAAAAAAATATATATAGATTCCATTTAATTTTATTTTTATGTTCGTCAAAAGAAATTTATTTACTAGGAACAATAAACTCATTAACGTCCAAGGGTTTAAAAACCCTTGGCTTTTAACTGGGGGCCAGAATTTGGTTGGGGCTTATAACTTCTCATTCGGTCAAACAGGTCAATGATAGAAGAGATATTAGTTCAGCATATATGAAATTTTCTTACGTGTCATATGAAGTAGAAATTTTTTGCTGGCCTGACGTTTCAATTATTATTTACTTTGATATTAACCTTTTTTTTTCAACCTAAGTAAAAATAAAAATAAAAGATAGGCCTAGCTTACATTACACCTTTGGGATTGACCATTAAAAAACGAAAATCTTATGCAACATATGTGTCCCCTAAATTCCTGCTTCGGTAGAATGGAGAATAACAGAATATGGACAAGTCATGAATATATATATGTGTTGGGAAATTTGTTCCCTCAAACTCCAATGTCAAGCGGGTCTAGGGGAAGCCCGTGGCGGGGAGCCACCACCAATGAGCTAAGACTACACCAACCGTAGCAAGTGGATCCGACACCACGTTTCAACCCAAAATCTTAAGGCATTGGGTTCATGGGTCTTTTCACTTATATACTCTTCACTTAGCTCATTACCAACCAATGTGAGACTCATCACACTTGAATATCTCAACAACATGTTCTAGTCTGAAAATAAATATTTTTTAAAATGATATTTATACTCCTTCATTTTTACGTACTTTTATACAAATTATTATCTAACATGCAATATTGTTATAATATTTTTAAATGATCCAAATTGTAGACGCACTTGAGCATGTAGCTTTTTTTTTTTTTTTTTTTTTTTAAAAATTTAATGTACTACAGTATGCTTTAAGCAAACAGTTTATACTTATATTGATTTGAAGATTACGTATTCTTATCTTAAATTGGTGAGTCAAGAACACTACTTAAAAATGCGATGGCCTAGCAATACCATAGTTAGCTCTTTTGATCCATGTGTGTGCGTGGAGTTCTTGAGAGCCAACTTAATAAAAAGAGAAAAACAAAAACGAAAACGAAAACGAAAAAAACACGTGTGTTGCCCTTTCTTTCAGAGAAGATGCGATGATCGATTTTATTATTGTACTTACACTCAGAAGAATTAAACAAACCAGTAACCACCATAAATTGTTGAAAAATGCTACGTAAAATTGTATATGTAATTGTATTATAATAAATTTGAGAATTTTTGTTTAAAATAAATCTATGGAAATAGATAGATCATTTTTTTTCTTTTGGTAAGCATCGATAGATCAATTTAATGGTGAACAAACGTTAACTTATGTGTAAAAAATTAATTACTAGTACTTAAAAATGGTTATTAAGGATGCACAAATTCCATCACAAACTTTAACAATTCCATCGTTAAAAAGATGAACGAAGAATTTAACGACGAATATAACTTAATTTGTCAATAAAAGTGCCAAAGCAAAAATATTAGTGATCGAAACTTATTTCTATCGCCAAGTGAAAGAATATTTTTCGTTGTTAACATAAATAGGGGTGTGCAAAAAAATTGGTTCACTTGCCCTGCCTTTGATCTGACCTTGACTTGACCTCATAAATACTTATTTTTTTTTGAACTGGTTTAAATATTGACCCACTTTTATTTGGATCAGTTTAAGACCTGACTTGTTTTAATAATGACCATTGACCCAAAACTTGACTCATACCCATTATGTGAAAAAAAAAAGGAAAAACAAATCACAATTATATTAAAAGAAAAGTTTTCACGTAAAACAATTACGTCAAAAAATTTTACGAAAAATATTTCCATCAAAATGTTTCGCAAAATTTTTTTACGAAAAATATTTCTATCAAAATTTGTGACTAAAAACATTTCTGTAAAAAAAATTGACACAAAAATTTTTTTGTCAAATTTTTTTACGGAATCTAAATTTCGTCAAAATATTTCACAAAAAAACATATTCATCAAAAATTTCGACGAAAAACATTTCCATAAAAATTTTTTGATGGAAAAAAATTTCATCAAAATTCTTTACAGAATTCAAATTTCGGTGAAAGTTTTCGACAGAAACATTTTCGTTAAATTTTTTGACAAAAAAATTTCGTCGACATTTTTAGCGAAATACATTTCCATCGAAAACTTTCGACTAAATATTTTTGTTAAGTTTTTTGATAAAAAATATTTCCATGAAAATTTTCAACAGAACACATTTCTGTCAAAAAATTTCGTAAAAATTTTTGACGGAAAAAATATTCTGTCAAAAATTCTAAATTTCGTCGAAAGTTTCGAATGAAACATTTTTCTCAAAATTTTTTTTGTCAGAACACATTCTCATAGAAATTTTGAACGAAAAACATTCCGTTAAAATTTTTGACTGAATTCTTTTTTTGTTAAAACATTTGATGAAGGAAATCATTTTCGTCAAAACTCTCGACGGAAACTAAATTTCGTAAGAAAATTTATTTTTGTAAAAGTTTTCATTAGAGAAAAAATTTCGTCACTTTTCGACAAAAAGTATTCCGACGAAAAAATAATTTTGTGACGAAATTTTTGTCGTTTGCAACGTAGAAATTTTGTGACGAAACCAAGTCAAAAACGGGTCAGGTCAGATTTGACCCAGTTCAGAAACCGAGTCAGACCCACTTCAGAAACCAAGTCAGGTCAGATCCGACCCGGTTCTGAACTAGTTTAAAAAAATCCAAACCAAGTAAGACCTGACTTGGATCAAATTAAAACGGGTCGGGTCAAAATACCTGACATACAAAAACCAAGTTGGGTCGAGTCGGCACAAAAACCTGACCTGACCTAGCCCATGCGCAACCCTAACTATAAATACCTCTACGCCCAAATTAATTTCAAAGAAGACATATCCGGTCGCTAACCAGCCATGGGAATAATTAAGGATATCAATCCTTATTCAAATGATCGTTAAATTAATGGTTAACAATAATAGAAGTCCGTTAGTATCTAATTTTTTTGTGTGAAAACAAAGTATAATTTTTTTTTGGAGAAAAAGTATCATTTTCAAATACACGAGTTTAAGCTAACTATTATTTTGTACAAAAAGATACTTAGGGGATATATTCGATTGAGATTTCAAAGAATTTAATGAATTATTTTTGGACAAAAAAATTCATTGGTATTCGATTAAGATTTTAATGGATTGAAAAAAAGTCACGTGGTATTCGATTAGGATTTTAAAATCCGTTGGTATTTAATTAAGATTTTAAACAATAGAATCACAATTTCGTGGTATTCAAAAATTCAACGATTTTAATGGATTTTTTATTTGTGTGAATTTTGTGAAAATTTTTATTGAAAAATATAAATAGGATGCTTCTCTCACAATCTCACCCAAATCCCTAAGATTTCTTGAGATTCTTCTATTGCAATATTTTTCTTCTTCCTTTGACAGGTTAATTGCTCGAAATTGGTTTCGCCATGAGAGCTTTGTCAAAACTAAAAAAATAAAATATTTTTGAGCGATTTTCATCACAAACAACCCAGAAACAACAAACCAACGAGATTTTAATATAATATATCTAAAAAATTACATATTTTTTTAGCCATTTTTGAGAAAATTTGGAAGTTTAAAAAGTGATTTTTCAAACTATGGGTCGCGGTTTTTCTTGGCACAAAAACGTGTGATTTTTGTATTAAAAACAACATAAAACAATGAAAAAGTAACAGGGGAACTAAAACCCTCAAACCAATTTTCGTTTTACATCAATGAAACAATATCAATTTAAAGAAAGATTGAAATTTTCATAATATGAAGCCTATATTCCGTAACAATACATTCATGAACGAAATTCCTTCACTATAGGAAACGATTTCAAACAAATTTTGTGTCAATAGATAACCGAAAGCTTGTTTCTCAATAGCCCCAAAACAATTTAAGGTTTTAAGGTATCGATTGAAAAAAATTTGAGAAATTTTCTAAACTTTCATGTAATTAAACCAAAAATTCCAGATTCGAAATTTTCTTAGAATATTCAATGAAAATATGCATATGATATATGGTTATAAAACTCTCATCACGTAAAATAAAATCCCCAGATTTTTAAGATCAATTGCAAAAAATTCCAAACGAAATTTTATCATGAACTTTGATACCAAATGAAGAAGATAATTTTTAACCCATTAGATATGTGAAAAGCTGTTGTTTATTAATTTTGAATATGTTTTACTGGATGAGAAAATTATATTAGGTTTTACTTTTTTTATTAATTTCATTGCATTTCTCTGTTGTTATTTTTATGGGGAAAACTATACTTACAACCTATTTTTGTTTACAACATTTTACAACCATATCTTAACCGTTGATTTTCGTCAATCAACGGTTATTATTTTCGCAAATCAAATTCATTAATATTTATTTAATTTGCAATGAATGATAACCGTTGATTGACGGAAATCAACGGTTAAGATATGATTGTAAAATGTTGTAAACAAAAATAGATTGTAAGTATAACCTTTCCCTTTTTTATTAACTCTTGTAATTTTGAATGTTTGTTAAAAATTCATATAGTTTTTAAAATCTTATAAATCCGTATTGTCTTTTCAAATCTTATAAATTCTATTAAAATCCTTTA